GATGGGCCACTTGGACATTGGCTACATAAAATGGGTGGAGGGGGTGCTACAAAGGCACAAAGTGACTGGCTAACAAGTTTTCAAGAAAGAATTTAGTTTCAGAGGGTGCCGGGGAAGATAGAATCTCCACTGAGTAGTTTTCAACCTGTCTGGATGGGACTGGTGAAAGGAGATGGAGATCGTGTGGTTCAATAGTGAATAATTGTTATTAGAATTGATTGTGATTTTTGTAACTGTAAAGGGAGATGCTTTGTAGCAAAAAAAGGGGAGTGGTTGATCTTGCAGTCCAGGAGTGGTGGACCCTGGGACCATAAAGGGAGAAGAGTGGGACCCTATCTAGAGCAGAAGCAACGCCAGAGATGGAGGCAGAGATGATGACATGGAGAGATGGAGTGGTGGGGACTCTAGACTCATTGAAGGAGAAGGCGCTGTGTTCTGGCAACCTGGGGGGGTGGGGCGGGGGGGCTTGCAGGGTATGCCCTTAGGGTATTCAAAAGATTGCATATTCCTAGGTGTTTTGGTGTACATCCCTCCCTAAAAAAGCAATAGAGGGAATAGAAGCAAATATTGTTGAATGATGATACATGGAAGGATTGTAATCACTGCAATGAAACAAACTATGAAAGCATAAGTGTAAAACTGATGCTGTCCCATGTAATCTATCACTCAAATCACAATAAAAACTTGAAAAAAGAGAAAGAAAAAAGATTATAAGAGGACCTCTGGGGACAGTGAAGGATCCCAAGATGTCTGGGAGAAAACTTGCTCTAAATACCATTGACTGGATAGCTTTTGGGAATATCATACCCCGAAATCAAAAGCCTATTGCTAACTCCCTGAAATCTTGGGATGAGCTCCTTGCCTCCAGGTTGACTGCTCTACCTGAGACACCCACCACCAGGTATTGACTGGGCTTACTATAAGGCCAACGTGGCCAAGGCTGGCTTAATGGATGACTTTGAAAAGAAGTTTAAAGCCCTGAAGATCCCAGTGCCAGAAGATAAGTTGACTGCCCTGGTGGATGCTGAAGAAAAAGAAGATGGGAAGGTTTGGGCTGACTCTGTGTCTCTTTCAAATACTAGGATTAGGGAATATGAGAAACAATTGGAGAAGATGAGTAACATTATTCCATTGGACTAGACCGCAGATTGCTTCAACGAAGTCTTCCCTGAAACCAAATTGGACAAGGCCAAGTATCCTATTGGCATCATCAGCCAATTAAAATTTATAAAATTGGGCCTGAGAGTAGGCTCTTGCCATGGTATGACAAACTCTGAACATTAAAGCTGTGAATCATTTTTTAAAAATGGATTATAAAACTTTATGACAAAAATGGTAGACACTGAGGGTGGTTTCCTAAGCTCCATTCTACCCTCTTCCTTTAATGACAGACACCAAATTTTAGTTGGGCACATGAAGGATGAACATAAAAACGGTAATTTTTTTTAGCTTGGAAGGTGGATGTGGCCATATGACTAATTTCTGGCTGAGGGAACGTTAGAGGAAGCAACGTGGACCAAAAATGGAATGAGCTTGTCTTTTGATTCTTTTCTCCTTCTGAAGACTGGAGAAGAAAGACAAATTCCCATGGAAAGCAGAGCAAAAAGCAAGGGCACTGGGCCTCCAAACCATCCTATTGTTGGGGCCCAGTGAGTCATTTCTGACTCATAACAATCCCATGTGATAGGATTCTGCTTCCCTTACATACTGGGTAATGTGCCTCTGCCCATAGGGTTTCCTTGGCTGTAATCCTTATGGAAGCAGAAAGCCAGGTGTTACTGCCAATGAACCTTTGGGATGAGTTCAAACCATTAACCTTTCATTACACCGTCAAGATCAACTGTTGTACTATCTGGGCTCTTTCACACCAACCCTGAAATGATTTTCCAGATTCGCACACATGGAAGCCACTAACTTCGCCTTCTGTGTTGTGGTGGTAGGTGTCTTCTGGTGATTCCAATTCTTAGCGAGACCACTCATGGGAGAAAGCCTGGTAATCAATCAGTTTTACAGCCAAGAAAACCCTGTGGGCAGAGGCACATTACCCAGTATGTAAGGGAAGCAGAGGCTTACTTGTGCTTACTTACTAATCTGTAGTGAGCAATTTTGCATGTTTTTTCATTAATTTGCTTACTGGATACTCTGTCCCTGTCAGGGATATAAACATGAAAGGAGGCTTTGATTCTGTAGGAAGGGGTTGTGGGGTTAGGAGAGAGAGAGATGCCAGCCAGACTTAAAGCTGAATCTTTGGTATGGTAAAAGCATGCAAAATTGTTTACCAGAAGTTAGTAAGTAAGCACAAGTAAGCCCGTGTTTACCTTGCTTACTACCTACTCTGACACTGCCTATGGGCAGTCCTACTCTGTCACAGGGTGTAGCTATGAGATTCCCTTCTTTAAGTCACTGGTTTTGGGGTATAGAGTCTCTGGGTAGTGCAAAGACTTAAGTGCTTAACTATTAATCAAAAGGTTGAAGGTTCAAATCTATCTACAGGTGCCTCTGAAGACAGGCCTGGAGATCTGTTTCTGAGAGGGCACCGCCTACTCTGCACACTTGGGTCACCAGGAGTCAGAATTGACTCGACGGCAACTAGTTTGGGTTTTCTTTGCACTTTGTTCTAAGAGGGCCTAGTGGTGCTCAGCTACTGACTGCAAGGTTGTCTGTTCAAATCCACAAGCTGCTCCCCAAAAGACAGATGAGGCTGTCTGCTTGGAAACCCAGTCCTGTAGGGTTGCTATGAGTTGGAATCAATTCAATGGCAGTAGGCTTGATTTGGGGGCAGTTATGGTAGTGCCCCCAAATCACTGGAGAAAGATATCATGTTTGGTAAAAAAAAAAAAAAGGAAGACCCCCAAGGAGATGGATTGGCACAATGGTGGCTGTGACAGGCTCAGGCGTAGCAGAGATTGTGAGGTTGGCCCAGGAACTGGGTACTCTTTTGAGTTGGTACTGACTCAATGGCACCTAACAACAACATGGTTGTGTAGCCTGTATTCTAGTTCCATACACAGAGAATGGTTCCTCAGATGCAGATTAGGGTGAGTGGATGGATAGGTAGAGAGGTGTGTAGATTGAGAGGTTAGATACGTGGGTTAGATGATAGGTGGATTAGGTAAATAATCTTGGATGATGTTCATCAAAATGTTCATAGAAGTTACTGCTGAATATTGGGATGGCAGGTGTTTTGGGGTTCTGGGTTATACCTGCTCACATTGCATTATGTTTTGGCATTACTGCATATTTGCTTTTTAAATTAATTTTTTAAACTTAAGCTGTTTTTATTTGCGGGGGGGGGGGAATAAACTATGCAAATAAACTCTCATGAAAGAACTGTATGTCGAAGTGGAGAATATTTCAAAGAAAGTGATCCAGACCAGAAGATCATTCACAAAGACGTCTCACCCAGAGGTTTTGCCCAAGGCCAGTGTTGTCCTAAGTGACCAGCCTCTCAGAGTAATGACTGAGGAGGACCCCAACACTTTCTGTTCAGTTATCACCACAATGTTGCATTGTATCCACATCTTTGTGCTCATATGCTCTTGTCTAGCATTAAAACCAAGACAAGAACTTCCCAGGAGAATGGGTGTATATCTATTTGATGTAATAGGTATCTTTTTGTTTGCCTTTGAGGAGGGAAATAAACTAACAGAACAAATGTTATCTAAAAGAACAAAAACAAACCCAGGAAAGAAGCCAGCCGCTAGCAAAGTCCACTCACCTGAAAAGTCATTGGTCCGGTTGTTCAAACAGTAGCAGTATCTGGTGGGGAATTTGGCAGGGTCCACGGTCTTCAGGTTAGAAACTGTGAAGAGAAATGGTCCCCATACAGCTGTCCTGACCCACTGCCCAGCCCGGCCAGCCTGTCACCAACCACCGTCCCTCCAGACCCAGTCAGGCAGCACTCACTGTTGTAAATGGCCACAGAGAACTTGAGGAAGGCGAAGGAGCTGTAGGAAGTAATGCTGAGCAAGGAGAAGAACGTGCTGCTGTCTGCCAGGAGATATTGAAATGACTAAACTGACAAATTCATACTCACATAACAATGAGTAAACACCCGTGTTGTTGTTGTTGTTGTTCGGTGTCATCAAGTCAGTACTGACTCAAAGCAACCTTATGCACAACAGAATGAAACACTGCCCAGTCCTGGGCCAACCTCACAATCATTACTATGCTTGAGCCCACTGATGCTGCCACTGTGCCAATCCATTCTGACAGCATTCTGATGGTCTTCATCTTGTTTCAATATTCAATAATCTGGTGGTGGCAGTGTTCTACTGCTGTTCATAAATTTTTCAGTGACTAAATATCAGAAGTAGTTCGTCTCTTCTTCATCCTAGTCTGTCTTCATCTGGATGCTCATCTGAAACCTGTCCACTGTGGTTGACCCTGATGTTATTTAAAATACCCATGGCATAGCTTCCAGAATCACAGCAACTCACAAGCCACCAGGGTACAATAAACTGACAGATGAGTGGTGGTACACAGTATCAAAGTATCAACATTGCTGTTGTGGTTGTGAAGTGCCATCGAGTCAGGTCTGACTCACAGCGACCCTGTATAGGGTTTCCGAGGAATAGCTGGTGGGTTTGAATCACTGACCTTGCAATTAACTGTCCAGTGTTTATCCTACAGGGTCACATAATACAATAGACAAAAATATCAAATGAACAAAACTGAAGGTTAAAATAATAGAAGGAATTAGTGATAAATAAAAACAACAAACACAGATGTTCTACTTGACTGGATTTCCTGTTCTATCCTTAAGTCCTGATGTGTTTAGGAAGGTTTTCAGGTGTACTCGTTTTCTGAGGCTGCTGTAAACAAATCATTACAAGCTGTTGTTGTCTTGTGTCATCTGTGGATTCTGACTTGTAGGGACCGCGTGTGACAGAGCGGAACTGCCCCATGGGCCTTCCTAGGCTGTCCTCTTCGTCGCATCAGGTCACCTGACCATTTTCCTGGGGAGCCCATGGGGAGATTCAAACCACCAGCTTTTAGTTAGCAGCCAAGTGTTTCATGGTGCACACCATGGCTCCTAAACACACACTGTTGTTGTTGTTAAATGCTGTCAAGTCGATTCTGACTCATAGTGACCCTCCATAGGGTTTCCAAGGAGTAACTGGAGGGTTTGAACTGTCGACCTTGTGGTTCACTGTCCAGTGCTGATCCTGCAGCGCCACACTTGGTGTTAAAGGAACAGAAACATGTTCTGTTGCCGTCTAGAGGCGAGAAGTCTAGCTCTAGCCCCCACGAGAGGTTCTAGGGGGAAACCAGTTGCCGGTATTCCTTGGGTTGGGGCTGCATCTCCACTCTTTCTCCACATCTCCTTCTCTGTGTGAGCCCCTCCCTACCTCTCTCCAACAAGCATACTTGTGTTGGTATTTGGGGCCCACCAGGAGTCCTAGAGTGGCTCTGTAGAATAAGCACTGGACTTCTAACTACAAGGTTGGCTGTTCAAACCCACCAGTCACTCCTCGGAAGCCCTATACAGGTCACCCTGAGTCAGAATCGATGGTACTTAACAGGATAAGCCTCATCTCAGAATCCTTACCTTGATCACTTCTGTTAATACATAGCATGGTGTTTACCTCTTTGTCCATATAGGGTGGTGGTCATGGGTGCCAGGAGTTAGGAAGGGAATGTTGTTGTTGTTAAGTGTTGTTGAGTCAGTTCTGACTCATGTTGTTGTTGATGTTAAGTGCCGTCGAGTTGGTTCCGACCCATAGAGACCCTGTACAGGGTTTCCAAGGCTGTAAATCTTTACGGGAGCAGAAAGCCTCGTCTTTCTCCCACAGACCATAGTGAGCCTTTATAGGGTTGGAACGGCTGGTGAGTTTGAGCTGCCAACTTTGTGGTTAGCAGTCTAGTGCTGATCCTACAGCATCCCACCAGGACTCCAACCAACAAACAAAAACAACAACAGTAGCCATTAAATGTCTTCCTACTAAAAGCAACCCCATGTGTGTCAGAGTGAGACTGTTTCATAGAGTTTTCAGTGGCTGATTACTCAGATGTAGATGGCTAGACTTTTTTTTTTTCCCCTTTTAAGCTCCTCTGGGTGGACTCAAACCCCCAATCTTTGAGTTAGCAGCTGAGTGTGTTAACTGTTTGTTGTTGTTGTTAAGTGCCTTTACGTCAGTTCTGACACATAGTGACCCTGCATAGGGTTTCCGAGGAATGGCTGGTGTGCTTGAACCGCTAACTCTGCAGTTCAAACCGACCTTGCCGTCCAGTGCATTAACTCACAGCGCCACACCAGGACTCCGTGTTAACTGTTTACACCCCGGAAACTCCACAGTTATGATTTTCAATACTGTATTTGGAATCTGTGCCCGATTACCATAGAATTAGGTAAGCACAGGCCTATTTGCGTTGACTCACGAATCTGTCCTGAACCACCTCATATGTCACCACATCAACGGTGCTGCTTCTGGGTCTGGCTGGCATCTGTCTCTCTCCCAAGCCCACAGCTCCTTCCTACAGAATCAAAGCCTCCTTTCAAATGTAGAGCCCCTGACAGGGATGGAGAATATCCAGGAAGCAAGGAAGCACAGGCTTACTTGTGCTTATTTACTAATCCATAGTGAGCTGATGAGTAAGTAAAGAGTCAGTGTTTGGAATGTATTTTCAATCTCTTCATGAATTTATAAAGCAACATGGTCTCTGCTCTGTGGACAGAGAAACTGAGGCACAGAGAGGGGAAATGTCCTTCCCAGGTTCACAGGGAAGTTCGGAAGTGAAGTTGGCACAGAGAAAAATGGACCCAGATTGTGTTGGCTACGGAAGCCGTCACCTTGTAAAGCTCTGTTCAGCATCCCGTTCACTAGTTCTGTCAGGTTAAGGGCGGACAGGTCCACGGAGCTGGCAGGTAGCTCTGAAAGAAGATCAAAGACAAAGTCACTGGCAGGCTTGTCCTGGCAGCAGGTGAAGTTCCTCACTTCCCAAACACACTTTCCCAGAGGACAGACATCTACTGAACCCACAGCCGGGGCTGTCCTCATGGAAGTCACAGCCAGTGGTACTCAGTGACAAGCGACAGTCACAGGAGAGGGAAACACAGTTTAGTGAACATTCTATCTTTGTAGAGAGCAAGGACTGATGGGAAACTCAAGGTAATTTTGGGCCTTCTTAAAAGCTATATATTTGAATCCTGGTGTGGCTCTGTAGGATAAGCACTGGGTTGCTAACCAAAAGATCAGCAGTTCAAACTCACCAGTCACTCCTCAGGAGAAAGATGAGACTTTCTGCTTCTGAAAAGATTTGCAGCCTCGGAAACCCTATACCACGTTACTATGAACTGAAAGAACTGTGCCCCCCTTCCCCACAACGAGATGGTTTGGCTCAGTGACGGCAGCAATGGGCTCAAATGTAGCAACAATTGTGAGGTCAGCCCAGGACCGGACAGTGTTTCATTCTGTTGTGCATCGGGTCACTATGAGTTGTTACCGACTCGATGGCATCTAACAACATGAGTTGAAACCAACTTGACAGCACTTAGCAATACCAACATGTATTCTAGAAGTGATTACACACTGTAATAAAGCCAGTTGTGGTCAAATCGATTTCAACTCATGGTCACCCCGTGTGTGTCAGAGTAGAATTGTGCTTCATAGTTTTCGATGCTTGATTTTTTGGAACTAGACTGCCAGTCCTTTCTTCCAAGGTGCATTGGGGTGGACTTCAACTTTGCAGTTTGCAGCTGAACCTGTTCATCACTTGCACCATGCAAGGACTCCTACAGTCTACAGGATTTTAAAAAAATCAAGAGAATCACTGACTCTGAGTCAATCCCAACTCACAGCAACCCTTTCTAAGACTTCTGAGACAAAATCTTTACAGGAACAGAAAGCCTCATCTTTCTCCTGAGGAGTGGCTGCTGGGCTTGAACCGCAGACTTTGAGGTTAGCAGTCTAATGTCTAATGTCAAACCCACAGTGCCACCAGGCTCCTTATGCTCGATAACAAAGAGGTAGAAGCCTCAGTTGGACATCAGCATCACCTGGAAAGTTTTTATTTTTTAATCCCACTATTTCAATGTTCTATCCTCCAGGATCAGGTTTAATTGCTTCTGGACTATGGAACTGTGGAGCTCCTGGGGTGTAAACAGTTAGCACAGAGTCCTGGAGTACTGCTTTGGGTTAATGCCCTGGATTGCAAGGTTGGTTTGAACTGTACATTCCCCAGCTTTGTGTCATGAGCAGATAATCCCAGAAGAAAACATGGTTGATGAGCCTCTTAAGTGCTTTATGAACATGAAGGTTGTTTTTTTTCTAAGTTTTTCAACGTTGACTTAATATTCAAATTTTCAGACAATTCTGGGGTCGCTGACTAGGGGAGCTCTGCAGACAGGGGAAGACTTACCTGTCGTAGCCAGAAAAGCCAACCTTCTCTCCTTCTTCGCTGTTCCTTGAAGGCCAGACACTGGGAAGAGAAAGGGTTTTCTGAGGAGAACATTAGCTTACAATGATGGTCCCACTGAGCTGGGGAATCTTCGCAAGCATGGCCTCTCTCAGGACCCTGAAGAACAGTGCAGATCCCAGGACCCCCTCCCCCAGATAGTCTGACCCATCCTGGATGGGCCTGGCCTAGAAATCTGCGTTTTAATAAGTACCCAAGGTGATTCCCTTAGCAAGGACCCTAATCTACCCCATTCCTGTAGCCAAAAGACAAAAACAACAACAACATTATCTTCAAGTCAGTTCTGACTCCTGGCAACCCACATGTGGCAGAGAAGAGCTGTGCTCCCTCCGTAGGTTTGGGACTGTCGTCTTTACTAGAGATTGCCAGGGCTTCCTGCAATGGTGCTGTGGGGTGCAGTCACACCTCCAATGTTCCTGGGAGGTGCACACACTGGGGGTACCCGGGGACCTGGCCACACTCCTTTATTGGGTTGAGAAGTCCAGGCTCAGAGAGAAGTAATTCTGAAATTTACACAGCTGAGAAGCTCTAAGAATGGAGTCAGAACCCAGTTTACATATTCACAGATCAGTGGCCCTTTCAAGATATCCGGCTGCCTGGCTGCTTGGCAAATTTCACAGTATCGTGGAAGACAACATGAAAGGAAGGGGAAATATTTATCATGGTAATGGTAGTACGAAAGATTCAAATCATTCATTCTATATTCATTCACCACCTATTCACCCAGGGACCCCAGTACCCAGATGTTCAGGACAAAGGGAGGTAAGCCAAAGAGAACTGGGTCTCTCTTCAAGGAATTTACTGTGTGTGTGTTTGTATGTATGTGGGGTGGGGCTCAGGTGTAATTACCTGAGATGTCTGTCAGTACAGAGAACATCAGGATGCTAAATGCCCCTGTATCAGAGGACCTAACTTGAGCATGGAGCTCTGGTGTGGCACTGCAAGTTAATGAGCTGGACTGCAAGGTCGGTTTGAACCACAAGGTCAGCGGTTCAAGCTCACCAGCCATCCTTTGGAAAACCTATACAGGGTCACTATGTGTTGGAACTGACTCAATGGCACTTAACAACAACTTGAGCATGTCTACAGTTGTTGTTGTTCTCAAAATGAGAACATTTTGAACCCTATCACGTCATCAGATAAAAGTTCTGGAAGATATACCCTTAGTATCTAATCCACTTTGAGGAGGCAGAGTTCCCTCCGTCGTATTCTGCCTGTTTTCCAAATTGAGGGACTCATCTCTCAGCTGGCACATCTGACAAGGTTCTCATCCCCATAGTTTTCACTGGCTTTATTGTTGTTGTTGCATTAAGTAGAAGGTCGAGACCTTTTTTCTAGCCTGTCAGTCTGGAAACTCCATTGAAACCTGTCCCCCATGGTGGCTCTGCTGGCATTTAACATACTGATGACATAGCTTATTTGGACACATTGTCAGGAGGGACCGGTCTCTGGAAAAGGAAATACTTCAATACTTTATGCATGATAAAACAGAAATTCACAGTGCTACTGCTGTGGTAAGGAGCTCTAACCTAGTGGTTACGAATCGGTCTGCAAGCCACAAGGTCAGCAGTTTGAAACTACCAGCTGTTCCGCAGGAGAAAGATGAGGCTTTCTATTCCTGTAAAGATTTACAGCCTCGGAAACCCTATGCAGGGTCGCTATGAGTCAGAACCAACTCCATGGCACATAACAACAACAACTGCTGTGGTACTGTAGGATAAGCACTCGACCATAAGGTTGGATTGAACTGCAAGGTTGGTGGTTCAAACTCACCAGCCGCTCCTTGGAAACCCTATACAGGGTCGCTTTGTTTAGGAACCAACTTGGTGGCACTTAACAAGTGAAAATTAGGAAGACCCTCAATGAGATGGACTGACACAGTGTCTGCTCAAACTTACCTGCCATTGTGGGGATGACATAGGACCGGATAGCACTTTGTTCTGTTATACGTGAGTCAGAACAGGTTCTTCAGCACCTAACAACAACAACCTGACATTTAAGTCAAGACTTGTGGGATCATTATTTTTGACTGTTGTTGTTAAATGCCATCAAGGTGGTTTCAGTTCATAGCAACTCTGCATAGGGTTTCCAAGGAACAACTGGTGGGTTTGAACTGCTGATCTTGCAGTTAACAGTCCAGTGCTTATCTTACAGTACCAAAGTATAGAAATTACTGTCTAGAAAGGAAGACTTAGAAAAGTACACAAGAGCTGCAGACAACAAAGATAAATACTGCTATGCATACAGCCCTGCATTATCAAGAATAAAACCCCCAAACCCCAGGATTAGAGACCATGTAACCACATGACATTCATTACTTAGTTGTAGTCAATTGTATCACTATTGTTTCTGTTGTTAAGGGCCATAGATTGGGTTCTGACTCATAGCAACCCTGTATAGTGTTTGGGAGGAGCAGCTGGTGAGTACGAACCGCCAACCTTTCTATTCAAACCAACTTTGCAGTCCAGGGCATTAACCCGCAGTGCCACACGAGGACTCCATCTCATTGCGGTGGTGCTCTATTTTTCATGCCATATTCAAATAAAGGATGTGTGTTCTGTCCATTTTATGGATGGAAAAACGAAGGCACTGAGAGACTGAACAACACGCCTCGTGTGACAGGGTAAGCCAGGAAATCGGGCTGGCCGGGTTACCTGGTGCAGCAAAGGAAGCGTCCTGTTTTTCATTTTTCATATCTTTATTTCCAGACACTGAAATGAGAGAAATAGTGTCTTGGCACAGTTTCAGATAACTTACTATCGCCTTAAAAACCTTGTCCAGCACCCCTTTTGAAGACTGAAGAAAGTGAACCCAGAGAAGCATTTTCCAAATAAATTGCTGGACAGGTCGTATAAAACCATTATTCTATTTTGTCACTGGAAGATGACAATAGAAGTGTCTATAAAGTAGATAATACCTGACATTTTTTCATACTCGTTCATGTTTTGCAATCCAACATCATTCACCCTGTCTGCTTCTTGGTGGAGCAGGTATTGTCCCTCCCATTAGAAAAGGAGAAAATGAGAGATTCAAGTGGGAGGAAATGGAGATTGTGGGAAACCTCACAGGATCACAAAGTCAGTTTGAACTGTAAGGTTCATGGTTAATGTTCAACTGTTTCAAGAGCTAGCATATGATCAAAAGCCAATGATACTGAAGGAGGAAGTACAAGGTGCACTGAAGGAATTGGCAAAGAACAAGGCACCAGAAATTGATGGAATCAAAATCAAAATCTTTCAAGAAAGTGAGGCGGCACAGGAGGCACTCACTCATCTCTGCCAAGAAATTTGGAAGACAACTATCTGGCTGACTGATTGGAAGAGACCCATATTTGTGCCCATTCCAAAGAGAGGGGACCAAACGGAATGCGGAAATCATCTGGGTTGCTATGAGTTGGGACTGACTTGCCAGCACTCAACAATGTATGCACAGGGAACATGGTGGTGCCATAGGCTAAGCACTGGACTATGAACCATAAGGCCAGCAGTTCCAGCCCACCAGCCACTCCACAGGAGAACAATGAGGCTTTCTGCTCCCACAAAAAGATTTAGAGACTCGGAAACCTTCTAGGGTGGCTGTGAGTCGAAACTGACTTCTCAGCATATAACAACAACACATACACAGAAAATTGATACAACTGAGGATCTCTGGAAAGGGAAATGGTTGGCTGGTGGGGGAGTATTTGTTCCTTTTGCATTTTGATTCTTGTGAATCTGTTGACTATTTAAAAATAAATAAACTTAAAAGAATAAAGACTATAAGACTCTCCTCAGGAATCCAGTCAAATTCTACTTAAGTGTACACAGATAAAAAGTTATTACTGGTTATCAGGGGTGCTAGGAGAGATAGGGTAAGGGAGATTCACTGCTCAGGATACTGAGCGTCTATTAAAGGTGATGGGGAAACTTGGACATGGATAATAACGACTAATAGCACAGAATTGTCCATGTGAAGAATGTTGAAATGGTCAATGTTTCATTACATGCATATTTACCACAACTTAAAAAAAAAGTTCAACCCTAAACCAAAGTCTAGAAATTACAGTCTAAAGAGGAAGACTTTGAGAGGTGCACAAGAGCTACAGACCACAAGGATAAATACCACTACGTACATAGCCCTGCATTATCAGGAATAAAATCACTGATCTGCAAGTACATACATAGGCAGATAAGTAAGATGAACAAAAAAAAAAAGAAAGAAAGGAAAGATACTACAATCTACCATATACTTTAAAATAAAAAGACAAAACCCCATTAAAACAAATTTTAATGAAATATCTTGCTAGTTTAGCAAAAAATTAAGAACAGAAACCTAGCCCTGACTCCTCTGTACCCTCTGTTTTATCACATTTGTCATCTTTCAACCCAGTCAATTTCATGCCATCCAAAAAGAAAAGGCAACAGAAGGTGAAATGATTACAAAGGGAACGACAGAAAATAACAATACCGCCTGGGTATGAAATCTACCACTGAAGCGGAGCCATCAACTTTGTGGACTTAATAAAGTCCAGAGAATCCAAGTGTACCCTGAACCACAAAGCTCTGAGAAATTCAGAGGAAGTAGGAAGCACTGTGACTGCTGGGACTTTAGACATTTTCAGAACATGGTTCCACTCTCCACAGGACAGAGAGAGGAGGTAAGACAAAGGAGCCAATTTGGCCAAGAACAGAGTGAACCGAGGAGGATCACCTGCCCGTTTACCTGGCATAGGTAAGAAGAGCATTCCTTTTTCTTTCTTGGCTTCTCCTTTAATGGCAGACAGGAATGTTTAAAAGAAAAAAAAAAATGTTTTATCAGACTGAAGACATCAGAGATCATTCCGGCCAACATTGCCATTTTATGCATGAGAACGTTATGATCTGGGACAGGATAGGACTTGTTTACAAGCCCATATCTGGTTTGTTCATTCAAGCACTTAGCCATCACATAGAGAGTCACCATCTAGGATAGCATTAATGGCTCAAAATGTTTCAAGCACCTAGTATGCTGACTATGTTGAATAAAGATAGAATTTATGGTCTAGTTGGGGAAGCAGACATTAAGGAAATGAAGAAGTAAGTCCAGGCAGACCTTCTTTTTTACTGCTATGTTTTATTGAACTCTTCAGCTAGTGTGCTTTTTCACATATTGAAGGTCTGTGGCAACCCTGCGTCATGCAAATCTATCGGTGACATTTTCCCAGCAATGTGTGTTTACGTCATGCCTCCGGGTCCCATATTGCTCATTCTCATAATATTTCCAACAATACTACTGCATACTTCACAGACTACAATAGAACTTGGTCTATGTTGGGAAACCAAGAAATTCATGTGACTCACTTTATTGAGGTAGACTGGAATCAAACCTGCGATACCGCTGAGATCTGCCTGTCTATAAACACTGCAAATGTTGAAAATTTTGAAAGGAACTTTGAGAATGTGAAATAGGGCATTTGAACTAGTCTCAGGGGTCTGGATGCTTCCTCTGGGAAGTGATATTGAGCTGAGACCTGAAGAAGGAATGGAATGTAACTTATTGAGGATTTCATACACAGGAAATTGCATGTGCTCAGCATGGTGACTGTAGGGCTGGGAGATTGTAGGAACTGGTGATGGACAGGCAGACAAAGTCATGTTGACCATGTGAAGGATGTTGGATACTATTCAAAGATAAGTAGAAAGCTACTGAAGCATTTTTAAGGCTAAGAAGAAGGGGTGAGTTTCAAAGGTGAGATTTATGGGAAGACCACACCAGATGATAAGCAGAGAATGGATTGTGAGGAGACAAGAGAAGAAGCAGGGAGCTGATTTGGAAAGGTCCTTAATGGTCCAGGAAAGAGGAGATGATGGTTTGAAGTGAAGGTGGAGGGCATTCTGTTGCTTGAATGGGTCACAAATCCCAAAGGTCAAGGGACAAACCAGAAATGGAGGAGAAGAAATCTCTGCTATTTCGTTTTAATCAAACTCTTTTTCTGGATTCTTGGCTGAAATGTTGACTGTTGAGGTTCTGTAAAGCTCAATGAAAACCCAGACTTCGCATATATCACAGACACTTCTTAAACTCCAGTTCTTAAGCTTACCTGAATTCCAAAGGGACAGGAGACATGTGAGCCCCACACACAGCCTTGCCGGAGGACTGTGTAGTAGGAGGCTTAACATGTTTGTGATACTTTGGGCCACCTGGAAAAAAGCAACAAGGGCTTTGAGGTAACTGACAAGAGAGTTAACCATATCAAGGCAGGAGAGTTTTTGAGAACGGGTGTGTGTGGGTCATTAGAATTACAGTCTGAGAAAAAGCTTGTACTACTAAGGAACTCTGGTAGCATAGTGGTTACGAGTCAGGCTGTTAACCTCAAGGTCAAGAATTACTCATGGCCATTCATGGGCTAATGTTGAAAAGAAACAGGATTCATTATTTTAAAACATCTTGGCAAGCAAAGGAGTTAAATATCCACTCACAGTCCTGGAAGAAGAACTGAGAAGGGCTATGTTACCAAGGAGCCAAGAATCTGCCCAAAAGTCCCATGAAATTAATTCACACTGTGTCTGTACTTTGTAGATAACAACATTGAAGTTGGAATGTGACTACACGAAAAGTAAAAGCAAAGCTGCTGGCGTCCTAATTAACCATCATATAACTTTTAATTAACAAGAATCCCAGATGAACCAAGGTTGGTTCAACCTGATAAGCAAACCTGCCTTTCTCACTGTACTTTGCAACTGAAAGATGTCCAGTAGATATAGAACAATCCCGGAGCTCAGGGGAGAGGTGAAAACTCACACAGAAGTACACGTCATTTGTGGTGACTTCAATGAGTGCTAGATGTTCTGAAGACATTGTGGTCCATTCACTCGGCAAATTTCCACAAATAAGTTTCCTTTTTCTATTGAGAGCCCAGAACCTTGGAGATACTAGACAATTTGCTCCAGGTTCTTAGCTGGCAAGTGATATCTCTAGAATTTCAATGCAGGCAACAGCTCCAAAGCCTGTGTTCCTTACAACCATATCCCATGACATAGGGGTTCTGCCTTGAAAATAATTAGCGAAGAAAAAGACGTGAAGTGAATAATTTAGTATTTGCTGGTCATCTGATGCCACAACTATTAAGTTCAGGGCTTTTAAAAGAAATGTTCACACAACGGAACCCAAGGAAATCAAAAGGATAATAACAGAATACTATGAAGAGTTGTACTCCAACAAATTTGAAAACATAGACGAGATGGATACATTTTTAGAAAAACACGACCTACCTAAACTTACACACAGTGAAGCAGAAAACCTGAACAGACCCTAATAAAAGAAGAAATTGATCAGACCATTAAAAAACTCCAACCCAAAAAAAGTCCAGGCCCAGACGGCTTCACTGGTGAGTTCTACCAAACATTTAGGGAAGAGCTGTCACCAATTCTACTTAAATTATTCCAGAAGATAGAGGAGTATGAAAAACTTCCTAACACATTTTATGAAGCAAGCATAATCTTCATACCAAAACCAGGGAAGGATATCACTAAGAAAGAAAATCATAGACCAATATCCCTCATGAACGTAGATGCAAAAACTCTCAACAAAATCCTAGCCAACAGAATCCAGCAACACATAAAATAAATGTTCAAACCCACCCAGTGACTCCTCACAAGAAAGATTTGGCTATCTGCTTCCTTAAAAATGACAGTCAAGAAAACCCCATGTAGCAGTTCTACTCTGTCGTATGGGGTCTCTATGAGAGAGAGAACAACAAAAATCAAATCAACAGCACCTAACATCCATCGATCCTTGTCTAGTATTGGTAGAGAAAGATGGCATGGTTGGTAAAGTGAAGGTTCAGGAATTCCTCATTGATATAGATGGATGGACATGATTGGCACACCAGTGAACTCAAACATACGAACAATCATGAAAGGTTCATTCTGTTACACATAATGTCACCATAGTCACAATGATACAATGGCAACTGACAACAACAACTACTTGGTCCTTGAAGCATGCACACACACACACACACACACACACACACACTCACTGCCCTTGAGTCAATTCCAACTCAAGAACAACTCATTGGTCCTTGAATCACACACATGCACACACTGCCCTGGAGTCAATTCTGACTCACAGTGATCCTATATAGCAGAATCAAGCTGCCCTATAGTGCTTTCTGGTGTGGTGTTGCAGAATAATGCACTTAACCAGAAGGTTGGTTTGAACTGTAGGGTCAGTGGTTCAAACTCACCACCTGCTCCTTGGAAACCCTATACAGGGTAGCCATGAGTTAGAACTGACTCGATGGCACTTAACAACAGCAATACTGTTTCCAAAGTCTGTATGGAAGCAGACTGCCACAGCTTCTTCCTGAGAAGTGGATGGTGTGTGCGTTTGAGTAAAGAAGGCCAGTGCTTTCATTACTTCCCCACCAGCACTGTTTTTTCCCCATGCAAACTTTTCCATTCATTGTTATTACCCTTATACTACCATTTGAGAAAATGGAGGCTCAGAAATGGAAGCAGAATCTAGAGAGCCGGGACTGGCAGTCTTGTCTCTCTGCTTCCGAAGCCCTGGACTAGGAAAATCATTTTTGAGTGGAATCTAATCTTCAGCCCTCCTTCCAGTTCTTTGGATTAAAAGATCACGTTTCTTCTACCACCTATGTGAGAACAAGCCCTCCTGTTTGCTGACCACTGCATTTAGATCACAATCAATAGCTTAAGGGGAAAAAATGGTGAGAAGACTTTGATCAAGGGGTGCAATGTACTTGGAAAATAACAGAAGTAAATGATCGAAGTGCTCTTCTCTCATTCAACTTCCAGGAGCCCAGGGCTTGGCAGTTACAGCAGATGTACGTTTTGCTTGGCTTAATACTTTAAGAAGGAAGTGGGGGATCCAAAGGAGGTTTAAAATATCTATAGTATAGGACTTACCGGTCTCCTGAGCAGGATAAATGACTTCAAAGAACTTAGACAGCCAGATAGATTAACAGCGAAGTCAGAGTCCTGGGCTTATATGAGTTCTTAGTGAAAGACACAGGGAGGTGCGGGGGGAGTAGGGTGAGCCTTGATGACTTTGCTTTAAATTCTCAGGGGGAAAAAAAGGGATAATAGTCCTATCTAAAAACTCAGGGTGATGAAACAGGATCAACTCCATCTGAGAAAATGCCTGTGTTATGGGCTGAATAGGGAGGGTCCCTGAGCAGAATGACAGACAATGCAGCAATTCAGCGTAGGGTGGAGACCTCTTCTGAGAGTAACTATGGGCATTGAAAAAGCTAAACTGGAGTCACTAGGTGATGATGCTCATCTTCCTTCTGTGAAGGTCTGTGAGCCAAACATCACCTGGTCTGCAGCCTGGTCCTTTGTCAGCCTGACCCTCCTCAGCAAGTTCAAGGCCAATGTTGCGGCCACTGTGCCAGTCTCTCTCCCTGAGGGTCTCCCTAACCATTGCAGCCCCTTCCCTTCATAATTTCATTCTTCTGGAGAAACAGCTAAGAACTGCTGGTCAATTTCAGCAGGTGCCAAGAGCAGAAAAGACAAATCCCACCCAACACCTGTTTTTATACATCCTGTGAGCAAAAGATGGTTTTACATTATTAAAAGTTTGAAAAAGAAACTTTGTATTTTATGACATCTAAAAATTATGTTGTTGTTAGGTGCCATTGTGTATGTTGTGACTTTGTGTCTGTTGTGTACAACAGAAGGAAACACACAGACACTGTGTCAATCCATCTCATTGATGGCTTTCCCCTTTTATGCTGATCCTTCACTTTGTCAAGCCTGTTGTCCTTCTCCAGGGACTGACCCCTCCTGATGACATGTCCAAAGTATGAGAGACAAAATCTTGTCATCCTCCCTTCCAAGGAGCAGTCTAGCTTTACTTCTTCCAAAACAGAATTGTTTGTTCTTCTGACAATCCACAGTACTTTCAATACTCCTGGTGTGATGCTGTAGGGTCAACACTGGACTGCAAACCACAAGGTCTGCAGTTCAAACCCACCAGCTACTCCTTGGAAACCCTACATAGGGTTGATATGAGTTAGAACTGACTAGATGGCACTTGACAACAACATCATTCACAGGCATCGATATTCCCATCTTCGTTATTCACCCCATCTTCGTTATTCACTGTTAAGCTTTCACATGCATATAAGGCATGAAAGATAGCATGACATGGGTTAGGAACCCCTTAGTCCTTAAAGTGGCATCATTGCTTTTTAACAGTTTAAAGAGGTCTTTTACAAGAGATTTGCCCAAAGCAATACGTCCTTTGATGTACTAACTGCTGTTTCCCTACACATGGATTGTGGATCAAAGTAAAGTGAAATCCTTGACATCTTCAATCTTTCTCCATTTATCATGATGTTGGTTATGCATCCAGTTGTGATGATTTTTATTATCTTTATGCTGAGGTGTAATCCTGATTGAAAGCTGTCGCCTTTGATCTCCATCAATCAATAGGTGTTTTAAATTCTCTTCATTTCCAGCAAGCAAGGTTGTGTCCTCTGCATACCTCAGGTAATTAATGAGCTTTCCTACAGTCCTGACGCTGCATCCTTCTTCATATACAACATTTGATCTGATGATTCGCTCAGTATACAGAATTAATTCATATAGTGAAAGGATACGGTACCCTAATGCACACCTTTCCTGATTTTAAACCACACACAATAGTCTATGTACAGCTTCCATAATATGTGTTCTAGAATTCACGTCCTTCAAAATCTTATCCACTGCCCAAAGCCATTTACACATACAATGCAATCC